TTTTTTTTTCGTTTCAAAATGATAATTGATTAGGGCTCATCCTATTTTCGGCTGTGTTGCTCACGTAGCCCTTGAAGCACCACTACAAATGCGACTAACGAAACTAACACAATATGGAAATAGAGCAAATGGAAAGACGGCGCGGCGCAGAAATACAACTATTCGTGCTTGATGGATGTCTGTGTTGCATCTGCAAAATTGAAGGCGCGATTGCGGCAGCTGTGAATCCGCGATGTTCCGCAGCTCCGCTTTATGATCCCAATGAGGTGTGGTGAGAATAGTTGAGAAACGAGCATAGCGAGCAAGCAAACGCAGCATAACAATTTTTTTTAATAGTTACACATACAGCATCCCGAGTAGCAAAGTGACTCGAAAATTTTAAAATATATTTTGACGGTGAAACTCCAAAACCACGTATCTCGATCTCCGACGTTGCAAACCTCCTGTCATACTTTACTTTTTGAATGGAGAACCGCTCAATGTCAATTCCTCAACACCTCCTTGAATTTTCCTCTTGGTGTGAGGCAAATTTGGGAAAAACTTCGAGGAATGATGTCCATGTGTTCTCCTTTCAAAAAACAAAATAGGGGAGGAGATTTTTAGACACCGCAAACGAGATACGTGGCTTGAAAGTTTCAACGTCAATTTGCAATTTCATACAATGTAGCTGCATAATTTTTTTAACATGAAATTGGAATGTTCAACATCATTTGATCAATGAATACCGATATTAAACGATTATTAATATAGCTTCTATGTTCCACGTCTCATAAAATTAGCACTTTGCAATGCAAAGAAGAATTGGAAGGTTTCCTTTCATCGCAGTACATTTTAACAAGAGCAACGCCTTCAATTAGTGAAGAGGCAACATGCACAGCGCTCCTAAAACATAGACATACCATCAGCCAATGTGAGAAACGACGTATATCCGCTTGCGATGTTGCAGACTTCCTGTCTTACTTAATTTTTTCTTTGACGTTCTAGCCAAAGTAACTTTCTCAAAACCTCCCGATTCTTCTTGTCTATTAGTATAATATTCTGCACATACAAACTATGAAGTTGGCTTGTTTCTCTTTGAAAAAATTATATACAAGCGCAAATTTTGAAACATCGAAATGGAGATACGCGGGTTCCGATTTATTTAGGTCATTGATAGATTTTAAATAATTATTAATTTCTTGGATTCAAGTTATTTGAGTTATTTCCTTTTGTTACTTTAGTAACAACTTAGTCACTAGTACTTACCGTGGCAAGAAAAGAAGGAGAAACGTCAGGAGGAGGATCATTTTTTTTTTCGTTAAATTGCCAGACTGCCTAAAAAGAAAAACTGACAATAGGTACGAATTCAAGAACGGAGTTAATGACCATGTAATTTAAAAATGTTACTGTAGTTGTACTTTTAAAATTCAGAATTTTAACGCGATGTAATCTATGAGAGGTCCCAGATTGACCCATGACCGTCCTTGTTCGTCGAAGAGACAACAACCCATCAGGTATCTGTGCCTCCAAAATCCTATATCAATAGTTTAGGACAAACGTATCGTAATTAAATTTTTCCTGTTTTTGAGATCTCAAGAAAAAACTGCCGGGCGCAGTGGCGTGGCGTGCTTTCCACTACATCGATTGATCTGCCATTTAAACCTATGGAAAAGGATCGATAAACAGGATGTTCACAAGGAACACCTTGATATTTATCGATTCTGTAAAGTAGCTTCATTAGGGGAAATATCGATAGTCGATCATTCAAGCCACCCCACTGGTCAGGGGGTCTCATTCTTTCCGATGAGTATCTAGATTTTTGAAATATTTCATTTTGCATCTAGCGTTGGATGCCATCACCAACTTTAACCCCACTCTAGGGTCTCTACGCACACCGAGAGTGCTAATAACTTCATTTTAATAATAATAATAATAATAATAATAATAAAAAAAAATTGCATTACTTTTTTGCTCCAAGCTACTGATAAAGGTCCATACTGATTTTCTCTTCACACGGCAGTGTTGCAATGAGGTGAAGCTAGAGCGCCTTAAATGCCTCGTGCAGGCAACACGCACATCCATGGTGCACGAATAGTTGCATTCAAGCGATAGCATCAAAGTCGCATTAAATTGTGCTTCTTCTTAATTTTAAGTAGATTTTAAGGGGAAACAACGAAGGTAATAAGAGGGCAGAGACCTTAAAAACAATATTTTTTAGGCAACAAACAAACTATCTTCCTTCCTTCTCCCCTAAAAAGAGAAAAAAACCACAGTTAGGTTCTGATTCCATCGTATTTTCAGGTATGCTACTCTAACTCTCTTTATCTCTTTCTGTTTAGGGCGGCAGGCCTTCGAATTCTGAATGCGTCCCTTTTTTCGCTTTTTTCTATTTTTTTTTTCTCTTTCTCTTTCTTCTTCTTTTTGGCCCAGGAGCGGACCATGCCTCCGTGCCTTGCTTTCCGTCCCCCTTAGACCCGCCACTGCAGGAGTCGAAAGCGGCCTCTCTTGATCAAATTTGAATTTTTTTTCTTAAGTTGTGTTTTAGGCTTTTCAAATTGAAATTTGAAACCCTCTTTAAACAAGTATTGAGGCATTTTTTGGCGCACATTCTGCGGGAGACGAAAGGAGAGAGCTCCTTTTCGACGCGTTTATAAACTTATGGAAAATCAGGGAGAATCCTAGGGTCAGAAAAAAATTAAAATTTTTAAATTGAGAGGAAAGGGGGCAAAAACCTTCGTGGTGTGGGCCTCTAGGCGCGCGCCTAGTGCGCCTACATGGTAAATTCGGCCCTGAAATCTGGCGCTCTGCAACAATGGACGGATTCAATCAAAATCAGTCCAACTGTATTTCACGTCATCAATTTTTTCACGTTTTTACTTTTCCTTTTTCCAGAACATGCCTTGAAACGTTTTGTTCGTGTCCTCTGATTTACAAGAATCACACTCAGAAAGTTTAAAGTCGGAATGTTCCGTGGTTTTCTGCACTGGAAAAAAAAAAAAACACATCGGATCTAGAGTCCAGACTCTTAAAAATATCGGCAAGAAAAAGGACTCTTGATTCAATCAGATTTAAGCTTAAATCAAGAACCAAGCCTCTTAATTTGAGCGGATTTCCTCTTGATCTGAGCTTAAATCTGATTGAATCAAGAGTCCTTTTTCTTGTCAAAGTTTTCAAGAGTCTGGACTCTAGATCCAATGAGTTTTTTTTTTTTCCAGTGTGTTACAACAAAAAAAAATATAAAAGGATGAAAGGAAATTAGGCAACGCGAAAAGTAGTCGGGCTGATTCTGTTCGAATCCGTCCAAATTATTGTCCGTTGACCCTGAGACACCCTGGACGCGCTCGCGAAAACGAGATTTGTCAACGTTAAGGGCGAGTGCATGGTGCAAGGGCACACGGTGCATTTTATTCGCACGTCGCACCGCGCTATGCCCAAAACTGCAGCGCTGTGCCGGGCAAGAACCGCCTAACTCCAACGGAAACCCTGCGTACTTATGCTGTTCTGGCTGAGCGCGACAGAAAACACAAACGAGGCCCGACCCCGGGTGGCGTGTGCGAGGCACCCTCCCTGATCGCGACGCTGACCCCCCTCCCCTCCTCCCCCCGTCCACACCTGGTCCCTGCGGCCGCGGGCGAGGGGAAAACAGCTGCTCCTTGCCCCCGAACCGACTGCCGACTGCGACTTCCTCCAACCGTCAATTCGAAAAGAAGCCACTATCCAGCCATCCATGGCCCTGCCCCATTCTTTTGAATCGGTTTGCCTTCGTGCCTTCACAGTTCACTCTCGTTGTTCCCGTCGCGCGCACGCCAAGTCCAACGGCTTTCTGCGATAAACCGTGACAAGTTCTCTGTGCTTCCTCTCTCGCTGTAGTGACATCGTGCTTTCGGGCAGCTTTCACGCTCAGCTTTTCGGGTCTTGCAAAGTTCGTCGTCGAATCGAGGGAAATAAATCGAAAATCGATCGATATCGATTCGGAGGCACGCGCAACGTGCTCTGGCCGTTACCTTTTTACGCTGCAGTGGACAACGAATCTTCATAAAAAATCCATCATCAAAGGAGGTTTTTACCAGTTTTCCGCGTCCCGAAAGTTGCATCCGGTAAATCGCTTCGGTAAATCGAAATTCGATAGGTATCGATTGTCGAGACACTCGCGACGTGTTTTGGCCGTTACCTTTCCACACTTCGTGAGCACGAGCCCTGATAAGGATCACTTTTCGTAATACCGAGGTTTCCGTCAGTTTGTGCTCCTTAAAAACTTGTGTCGCGAATGAAACTCTCACCGTTCAACCGAAGTTAATCGTCGATACTTACGTTCCTCGTGTGAATTTGTGTGTGCAATTATAGACAACTGATTTTTTGCGAATGCGAAATTAATAGCAATTTTTCTCCTCAAGAATAAATTAAAATCCTACAGGATTATCCACCCGACTCTCAGACATCGACTTTGATTTCAGGGAGTAGCTCCGTTATATCAAGTGCGTGAGTGTCCTCGTCGGTTAGTGCATCTTCAAGATGGAACGGAGGCTGCCGATGAAATCTCAACTCTCCGGGAGTGCGGTGACTCGCCGGTGACGATTAAGTCCATCCGATAGTTCTAAAGACTGAAAGTGCGCGGAAAACCGAGTAAAATGTCTCAGCAGTGCTACTCGAACGAGGGCTTCTCGCGGCAGAGCGAGGACCGCTACGAGTGTATCGATTCGACGGACGAAGAGCACGACCGGAGTCACCACTGGGAGGCCGACAACGAGACCTTCGTCGACGACTTCGACTGCTACGAGGACATCCAGCAGTCGAACGCTCTTCTGGCCGCCCCGAACGCACCCGCACCCACCGGCACCAAGCTCTCGAGGAGCTGCTCGCAGTACCAGGCCACGAAGCCCGCCCTCCGGCACAACGCTTTCCCTTACCGCTCGCTCAACCTGAAAGCCCAACAACGGATGCGCGCTTCCCCGATCGGCGCTGCCGCCGTCAACTCCTTCCGCGAAGACGCGCCGCCCCCGCTCCCGCCACGCCAGACGAAGCCCCCGCACCTGGACCCCCAGGTCCCGAGCCCCCTGTGCCGGACCCCGGTCAAGCGGGTGCTCTCCCGGACCCACTCCGAGAGCCGCCGCTCGCTCAGCGTCCCCAGCCGGAGGCTCGACCCCATGACCGCCGACATCCTCGCGCCCATGATCGCCGCCGCCCTCAACAAGAACGGCAGCAGTTGTTCCTTGAGGCGCAGCCGCTCCACCATCGCCCTCCGCCAGAACAGCAGCGCCCAGATCAAGAGAGTCAACTCCATCAACTTGGTCAGTTCCTCGGAGTCGACTTCGCCCCCGGTCTACGACACCAGCTCCTGCGCCCACTACACTTACGGCCACCTCACCCCGCGGCGCAACAACATCGAGTCCGTCTTCGAGGTCTCCTCCACGCCGTCCAAGTCCAGGGTGCGGCGTCACAAGGGCGCCAAGCAGCGGCAGCTCTTCAAGGACCCCCACGACGAGCTGAGCCAGAGCTCGCTCCTCCGCCAGTCGCACAACTCCTCGCTCGTCCACCGGGGCTCGCCCAAAGTCAAAGTGACGTCACCAGGTAATAATTACGGTCATAGGAACACCGCGGTTATCGCTCCGTTGTACAGGTCGCAGAACGGGTCCAAAGCCAATTTCGAGAACTTGGAATGCGAGTTCGACACGCCTTGTTGCAATAATAACCAATGCCGCTCCCCCTACAGGTCCCCGGAGAAACCCTCGTGGGGTCAGCTGCCCACCCCCAGTTTGGCCTTGGGCTCGCTTTACTGCGCGGCTTTCCTCCTCTTCGCCTCTGGTTTTATCAGTTGCCTCCTCTGCTTCTATCAGATGTCGACCAGAGGCCGGAGGTACTATTTGGACTTCGCCTTGTTCGCCGGGTTCGTTTCGATTTTGTTAGGTTTTCTAGGTTTTAGGTTTCAGTACTGGAAGTGGTTCCCCAATAGAAATTATATTTCCGGTTACATTTTGTCGTGTTTGTTTAGTTTGCTCTTGACGGGGTGTTTGGTGACGCTGCTTTACGAGCCGGACCTCGAACCGCCCATGATAGATATTGCTGGGGGTGCTTTGTGCGGTGTTGCCATACTGTCGGCAAGTCTCACGAGCTTCGGTTTGATGACATCGTTCTGTTGCAGATACCCACCTCCGGACAACAGGGTTGCCCACGCGGTCCAGGGTTTCACGGTTTAGTTGCATCACCCTTTATATTTGTACAGCTGTGCTTAGGGCGAACGCCGTATGAGCTCTCGGACTTTGGCAAATGGACCAGTGGCGTAGCGTGAATTGCGATGTATCGATTTTATGCCATTTAAACCTATGGTGAAGAATCGATTATTAAGGTGTTCGCTGCGAACACCCTGTTTATCGATCCTTTTCCATGGGTTTAAATGGAATAACAATCGATAAATCGCAAAGCACGCCACGCCACTGGAATGGACGTACCTATTTCTGCCGAACGAAACCAGAGACAGGTAGAGGAAGGGGTGTGCTTGTTAGTAGAGGACCGTAAGAATGAATGGGAATTATAAAGCGCCAGTGACGTCAGTGGTGACGAGGCAGACGCCGCAATCAGTAACGGGCGAATCAGTAACTCATGAGCCCTGTACACAACGCTTTTGTACCGTGCTCATGGCTCATGAGTGCCGGATTCAGTTGGCACATAGATCCATTGACAAAATATACAATCCCGCTTTTCCTTTGCGCCAAAAGGCACCAAGCCTACTTTTACATTGTTTCTTATGAGGCTTTCTAGAGCGCACCCCATCTTTTCCACCCGTCTATAGTTCCGTTTGGCTGGAATACGTCCAATTTTTTTTTTTGATGGAACATACATTTCCTTGAAAACTTGTGAATATTTTTCCTCGACGTTTTCAGAGTCATCGCAGTTTGATCTTAGGTGTTTGGAAGTTTCAAGGAGAACTAATCATAACCTTCCTCGAAAATTAATATTTTATTGGGGGAATTGTAGCAACTTTCGGAATTTCATACGGTCTTTTTCCTCAGCACGGCAGTATTTTAAAAGGGGAAAAACTTACGGTGCCTCACGATTTTGTGAACAATGTTTTCATTTTTGTAAATCTATTTTTTCTTTTTTCATCGTCTCTGATGGGTTACTTGTTCCTTTGAAATTTCAGCTTGCCTCATGCCGAGTCGATCAAAGCGTGTAACCATCAGCTAGGATTTGTACATATTCTGTAAATTTGCAAGGCACGCAATTAACATGATGCAATAATTTAGTACATTATTTGTAAGTTTCGGAGCATATGCAGATGTAAAAACTTGAAAAACGCCTTTTTCGGGTTTCTGAAATTTGTACTTGTGCTTCATTATTTCGAACATAATACTGCCTCATGTTTTCGCATGGCATTTTCAGAAGAATATTCTGAAATAGCAGGAAATGCGATTGGCTGTATCGCCCTTTGAATATAAAATGATGGGAAATTTGTAACGTCCAAAACCGAAATATGCGCGAGTTTTTCTAGTTTCATAACCGATATTCCTCCCTTATACTTTCGATGTCTTCAAGATTTTATGGTAGACAACCACATTGTAAAATTTTTGTGGGGTGAGGAATCGTCCGTTTTACGAAAAGACTCAGAAAACTGATTTGTTTAAGAGATTGGTTCCTTGGTATCACACGGAGGCATACTCCGTAGTTTTCAAGACGGCAGAATGTAACAACATCTCAACGCTTCAAAAGCTCCAGTCGCATACTGTACACTCACTTGAAAATTGTTGGAAATTTTGAACTAAAAATTTCATAGATTTTTCTTCTAATTTCTCGCAAAACTGAGAAAAATTTCCGTCACGAATGATTCTGATTTTTGAAAGTTATTGAAGTTGTGCTCGGACTGATTGAAGCGATCATTCTCAAAAAGACTCAAGGGCCGGAAATAAAAATGCAAGAAAAACTTTGAATATCGTTTGAATCGACCAGTTTTAAATCTCAGTGCTCTAAAATATCTAATCAATTAATTAATTAATCACATTAAATTTAAAAGTGGTCGATTAATAGGTCCTACTGTCTCGCTCTTATTTTTATTCCTGGCGTTAAAGTCTTTTTCAGAGTGACCGATTCCATCGGTGCTGCATCAATAAGTTCGAGCATAACGTTAATAAGTTTGCTGGCTTATGCTTGTGTTAGTATTTTTAGCTGTGTCGAAATCATCCGACCAACCCTTTTCCCAGTGCACTTTGGGGGAAAATTGAATTGTTTGAGTCAATTTTGAAACTTTCAAATAAAGTTAAGTCCATTAATTTACTATACAACCAATCGTACAATTGTTTTAAAATCAGTATTGTGGTAAAACTCTTTTGCGTATACCTAAACCACTCATTAAATAAATTGTCATACCTAAAACTTTCATGATGTATCAAACATTAGGCCACGTCGATTATGAAACTACAAAACCAAAAGCAAAACAAAAACAAAATCTTTGATTTTGTCTCTATATTTTTACCAAATTTTATTTCTTGAAAAATGCCAATCACTACATCACAGAGATCTACATATTATGTAAATCAGTGGGCCTACGACGGCTCAGCTCAAAATCCCTACAATGCGCTAATAAAAGGATCCCAGGTAACATAGCCCACTTTTCTAGGTAAAATTTTCCAGGTATTTTTGAGCGGTTTTAGCAGAAAGGGACCGACATTTCTGAAACACGAGGGCTCTGCTGTTAATTTCCAGTAATTTTCAAGCATTTGGCATTTTATTGACGTCTAAAAATATAACTCTCAAAGTTTTGACTTTCGGTCTATTCTCCCGGATTGAAGGCGTCTATTGTATTATCATAAATTGAACAAATTTTAACAACAGGAACTATCTTCATTTAGACATAAGGGCCCTGTCACGAATTTATTCCATAAGGGTCTCAAGACGTACGGTCACAATTGCACCGCGTTTAATATGAAGGAACCAATCCACATCAACTATTCCCAAATTTAACTGAGCAATTTAATGTTTCACGAGAAAACGTTTGTGATGATTTTTTTTCTGAAATTTTTAAGGATAGTTTGCCTCGCTGAAACTCACCGAAATTTCAAAAAAAAAAAAATTCGCACAACCGTTTTCATGTCAAAAATTAAATTTCCCAATTAAATGTGGCAATAGCTGATGTGGCTTGGTTCCTTTCTGCTTCAAGCGGTGCAATGGAGATGGTTCTTTTCGATTTCAATATGTCCGATCCACACTCACAAATGTAATATTGAAGCCCTGCTCACCCATCTCGTATATTTTTTCCCCTTTTATGAGGTTTTGGAAAGAACTTTGGGCTATGTTAGAATAAAAAGGCAACTGTCATACATTCCACGCACTTAGGTTTACATGTAGATATTGTATAGTATTTTATATCGATGGTTAAAAATCACGCACTAAAAATAAGTTCAGGGTTTCGACGACAGCTCGGCAGTTACAGAGTTTTACTACCTATGCGATAAGTTGTTTCTAACATTTATCACAATTGTTTCCCCTGGTTTTAAACCAAAGTCCTAATTTTAGCTATTATTGTGGCTTTGTAATATGATGGTTCGAATTTTGTTTTCTCTCAAATTTGTCTAATTTTTGTTTTCCGCGTATATTTATTTTCAACGAATGTTATTCACCCCCATGCGTCCTTTTAACATGTCTGTTTCTTCAATCGATTTTTTGTTATTTTCTCGTTTATAATGTAAAATAAATTTGTTCACATTTCTCTTGTAAAACTTGCCATTTTTTCATAAATTCCTGCAACTCTCTAAGTTCCTGCAAATTATCTGCGTCTCTCGGCCGAGGTGCCATATGTCATTTCTATTCCTTTACATTTTAATTCTTTATTTAAAAATAAAAAAGAACGACTGAATAAAATTTCCTCAAAATTTGGAATAAATAAACTGAAAGTTTTTGTGCTTTTATATTTCAGCTCGAAGTCTTCATTGAATTCATCCAATTTATGAATGTTTAAAAAAAAAGTGACACATAGCGCCCCGCTATCTTTTACATACTATTGGCTATAATATTTCATTCATTTCACTCAATCCATTTTGGTGGATAAGTGGGTGACCAATTGTCAAATTAGGTATTTTGTCAAATGTCCAGGTAGAAAATCATCAATAATTCTAACTCAGATTGAAATTATAAGATTTTTCCTACTTTTTGATGCAGAACGCTCCAAATATGTGGCGCCCAAATATGTGTGTAAACCTCTTCGTTACACGCTTGATCAATTCATTATTGTTTTTAGACTTTTTAGCACTGAGTTAAAACTTATCTGAAGATTGACCAACGCTTAATAAGATACAAATTTTTAAAATTTTGATCGTGAAAAAATAATATGAAATACGGTATTTTGTCCACTAAAAATATGGTATTTTGATTAACATTTACTTTCCCAAAGCCAAGATACCACTGAGAAATGATAATACAAACCGTGAAGAATTCGATAGTTATTTAAATTTTGGGTTTTTGTCTGGGCGTTTGACAAAATACCTAATTTCGATTTCGGCAGTTTAACAAAATGCACCAAGTCCATCAAGTTTGAACTGAGAAAAAGAGGTTTGAAATTTCATTTCTCCACAATGTTACGGATAAAGTTTAATGACTATATTCACGTCTAGTATTTTTTCTCAACTTCGCATTTCTGACAGAAGAAAGTTTAAAACTAATCGGATTCAAAACTATTCTCTACTCATTTTTACCAAAAATGTGATTTGGTAAGCTTATGTTAAACCTGGTCCATTTAACCATTAGCCTGTGATAGAAAGACATTTGTTGGAAACATGACTTTTGATTGGGTAAAATTATGTCAAAAAGTTTCTTTATGGTTGATTATTAACAACAACAAGAAAAACGCAAAAAATTGAATAGCATAAATGCTCTTTCCCTCTCATTTGAAAAAAAAAAGTCATAGGAAGCGACTAACCTCTGCTTCATCAGAATTGAGACATGTTGCATTTACAATTTTGGCTCTGATCATGAATCGGTCAAAAATTGCTTCACGAATGGAAGACCAATGCCACACCATGCCATACCGGTGATAAGAACTGAGTAAGTCTCCTTCATTTTGAAGGTTTGCTGATAAATTGAAATGTGCACGCATCAAATTGATAACTAATCAAGAATATGTTCCTCGTGAGATTAAAAATATGTGTACCTATGCATTTTGTATGTTTAGAGTTGAAATATCGCCCTGGGCGTTAAAAATAAGTTTCAC